GGCTGGTAAAGCTGTTCAGCCCTTTTACCCCATATGTCAAAATATGCAAATTGTCCATGAATTATAAAAACATAAAATAAAATGTTCCAAAGGGAAACAGCAAGTTAAATACAGTTGTCTTTGCAACTCCCCTATGCCCCTTTCAGTGACCGTGTTTCCCATGTACTTTGTATGGATCCAGCGTAAAGTACTTGAGGCATATTTCATCCTTGGAGCTTTGCAAATTACCCTTTGGGAGCGCCCTACAGTGCCAAGGCTCCAAACTTAGGCGGTGCAGTGAATTGCCTGAGAATAGATGAAATGAAGGAGACTTTCTCTCTCCAGGAAAAATGCAGTTACCTTGGAATTCACAAAAGCTCTTTTACTGGAAACTAAGTGATTTTCTTCTGGATTAAAATTTTGACACTTCATGCTCTAATACATTGGAAAATTCCCTTTTAGTCAACCCGACTTCACGTAAACATTGGAACCAATGAATAACACTTCTCTTTCCATCCAACACACAACAGCAGGAAAACACACGATGCTGCCTGTATCAGTGGTGCGGCCCGTCTCTGTCACATCTCTACCACCTCTAAGGAATGTAGGAATAGTGCCAGACACTAATTTCCATTCTCACGCAGCAAAGTGACTGTTATGGCTTGTTTCCATGAACTCAAATTAGTTACATTTCATTGTGCGCTTTAGGCATTCCTGGACAGGTCTGTGAAAAAGAAATTCAATGGCACTGAATGTTAGTATATGCAAAGAACCACATCTGGCTCAGAAAGTCCTTGCTCTGCAGAGGGGTGCAGCCTGAAAGAGCACTGAGACTACTCTTAGGAGCTTTCCCAGTCATCTGCTGCTGGTCACAGTGGGAGATATGATACCAGGTCAGATGAACATTTGGTCCAAGACAATAAAGCCAACCTAACATTCTGATAGGGACATTCTGCCTTGGAAAACCTACCAGTGCAGAACAACTGTAGGTGACCCTCTCATCAAAAGTTAGAGTCAAAAAAGTACTTTTATACTCCTGGCTGCCTTTTGATGATGACACAGGAGTAAGAACATGGAAGAAAGCTCTCATAGTATGGCCCAGACAATCAGTTCCCTTAAAATATCCATTTTAAGAAACTTTCCTATTCAGAATATACGTAGCATTATAAAGATGCCAAAGAAACGAGAAGACTTCTGATTCCACGTCACTTCAGCTCTTTTGAAGAAACTTTCTCTAAGAAAGAATGTAGAAGTGGCCACCCAAAAGCACATTCAGGCCTGTACCTTGCTTCCAACGGGATGTGGAGGGAAGCAGCAGCTGGATGGACGCATGCAGCTAAACATCCCCGGGATTTTCTCCTATACTAATGCTATTACTGGCTCCAGGAGTTTCTCTATCTAGAAGTGGTGTCTTTGTATTTACTGCTTGTTAATAGATTTTTGTTTCAATGAATTTCCAGAATGGTTTTCTCAACCCTTTTAACCATCCAATATCTACACCTAGTAGCAGAGTTCCACATCCTAACCACCTCTGCCGAGAAGCGGCTCTTTGGTTTGCTCTGACACTTACACCTACTAGTACTATTCAGCCATCCTCTTGCAGCACTGGAAGAGAGAGCTTCCAGTTTACATTAGAACCATTAACATGATTGGACATTTATTCTTGGAAATGCCACACAGAAACAAGCAATATAAAACCGAATTCCACAGGAGCTATTCTAGGAAATGATAGGATTGCAGCACTGTGAAATATAACCACTTTAAGAAACGTATTTTAGTATCCCTTCATAGAATTCAGGATTTTTTAAATGGATTAAGATAATTAGTAAAAAAATTAAAATCCTAAAGAAATGTTAATAGGCTATGAATACCTTGAAAATGGCTTTGTTTTCACTGTTTAAAGAAAAACGAAAAAAGTGATATAAAAGATAGCTATAAGCTTAGAACAGCAGCATGGATTTGCTCTTTGTCAAAAGTTCTTTACCGTAACAAATGCATAGAAAATAAAAACATTCAAATACACTGTCCTTACACTAGAATTATTAAACTGGAGCTGACTCGCATGTGCAGCTGTAGAAGTAGGACTTCAGGAATACAGAATTTACCACCTGTGAGGGAGCACCAGAGCCATCTACTGGGGTCAGCCCATTCCTGCTGCACACGATTGCTCTGATAAGCAACTGTCTCCCCAAAATAGCAATACTAAAGTGATATTTAACTGCAAAACTGCTGTTACATTAAAATAATATAAAATAAAATTCCGTAAAATCTAAGAGAAAATATAAGTTGTAACACTGATGAATTGGATGTGAGGGGAGGTTTGAGTGGTTTCTCCTCACTTTAAGTTTTTCAAGTACTTTTTTAAAAAATAGCATTTATTTGCATATAACACAAAGGGTAAAATGCCTTCTAGGAGTGTTTTGGTGATGAACTTAAGCGGAACAAAAAATATAATTAATATTTTTAGTATCATTGATTATTGTTCAAATCTGAGATTGAGCTTTTTCAATCTCTTTCCCCAAGCAGAATTTTACATGTGTATGTGTGTATATATATATTTAGACATACATATATAAAAGGACTAATTTCTGCTATTTCCTGCAGAGTAGTTCCACTGTCCCTTAAACCTAATGAAACAGCTACCTCCACTCTCCAAATATTTGATTTACCAAAATACTAGAACAGATTTTATTGGAATTTGCAGAGCTAAATTTTCAACTAGGCTTTAATAATTCCCACGTTAAAAATATTTCTAAACCTTCTTCTAAAATAGACTGTATGTATACAGAGAAAAATTTCATTTTTATAGCTCCTAAGAAGCTACACTTGGAAACTTCTAAAATTCACATACAGCCTATTCTGTATAGGCTATGAAAATATGCACTCTTCTAAATCATAAAAGCTTTCACAAAACAATATAAACAATCAGAAGTGAGATTAATTTAGCTGCAATATAATCATGTTCCCTTCCTCTTCCTTAATTTAACCATGCTGCCCTCCTGTGGATGTCAGCATATGTATAAAGCAATGGCTCAGGCTATGGAAATCTAGTTCAAATTGATGCCTGCGACCCCCTTTGTGACCAACTTGGAGAGGAAAGAAAATGCCACTGTGTAACCACAAAAAGCTGTTCAATTAAACTTCAGGGCAAGGACTGTGAAACTTATATTTTAAATAGTTTTAAAATTAATATTTTAAATAAGCAGAATGTCTTATTATTCCACAAATCATGTATATATGGGAGCACAGTCATACATACTAATAATGCATTTATTCTCAAATTAGGGGGAGAACATTCATTGCATAATGACAAGTTACTTCATTTGTTGAAGAGCTGACACAGTTGAACACACATAAAGATCAACCAACAACTCAAAAAGCTTGGAAATAATTTGCAAAACTACCAGTATTTGGCAAATTGAAAAAGCGCCAACTGGTAAAATTGTGGTTTCTTTTTCCTGGTACAGATATAAGAAATACATCTTGAGGAATAATTGAGTCAAAAACATGTTATGCCTTTAAAGAAAAATATCAAAAATAGTTTGGAATAAAAGAATCCAAAATTAAGGACAGATATAATAAATTATTCAAATAACTTACCTCATGCAGAAAAAAATAATCTTTTTTGATCAATTACATTTCCATAAAGTCTCTCCTATGCTCTGTTAGTCAGATTTGTTAAATCATTGGCTAAATCATTTTGTATCAGTATGGAACAGAAACTAAAACCACAAAAGTACAATACCTGGAGTGACACAACACTGCTGTTTTTCTTCTAGACTAAATTTGTAAATCCTGACAAATTATGCTCAAAGTCTTAATGATAAGAGTGCTTAAAAATACACTTTTCTTTCTGACGAAATACTAAAATTTCTAAAAGCTATAAAAGGTAGAGTGACACTTTCTGATTCCAAAACGTGTTAGAAAGTTTAGAATCTCTTTAGAATCTCTTTTGTCTTTAACGCAGAAAAAAAAAGTGAAATGCTAAATTTTAAGTCAAGCCATTTCCTGCCAAAATATTTTATATATTATTGGAATGACTGTGAAATAAATAAAAAGTCTCAGGAAAGCGAACAACCGTAAGAAATTATTTTGGACAAGACAAGACATTTAGATTACAGATGCAATTTTGTGCCAATTAGCGAAGCTGCTAACATGCCATATCAATAAAAAAAAATTGACCTAAGTAGTGGGGCTAATTAAATGAAATAAGATAATTAAATGCTTCTCAATATATAACAAAAAATTATGGCTGAAAGTGTTCCATAATGTTGTCTTTTTGTTTTCCTATTATCTGCTTTTCTGCTGAGTTTTAATCAGTGTATCCATATGCATAAAAGATAGATAGTGTCCAGATGTTAATGTGTTGGTGGCAGGAATCAGGTGTTCAATTAAAATTTATTGAGTGTGCAAGGGAAAAACCCAAGCCTTCTATTAAGTAGCATACATACAGCTCAATTAAAAATGAATGTAGCATTTGTGATTAAATTGAACACTCACATTCTAGAATGGCAATAAAATTTTACATGACATACGATTACTTCATTAACTTAATCTTAATCATACAACTAATCTAAGGATCAGAGTTATCTTCCGTTTCAAAATGGATCCATTGCTTCTCAATATACAAAATAATAGTAAAGCTGCATTTTTTCTGATGCACCTGATGCTTTTTTTTTTTTTTTTTTTCTTTTCTATTTAACACTACACTGGCCAGCTACTGAAAAATATAATGCAAACCACACATCATCTCCATGGTGATATGGAGGTCAACTGTAATGAACATGAAGCTAATTTCTATATTTTCATGGATTTTAATAAGAATAATGACCTGCAAGTCAGGATTTCCCTTGCTGGTAATAATAATCCAAGTTAAAGAGCTTCTGGCTAACAACAAACTGCTATGCACATTTCCCTAGTGAATGAGTTCTGCTTAATTAAACTTCATTGAGGAAGCTGCTACATATTTTACCAACTAAAACCAAAACTAGAGCCACAAAAGAAAAAGAAAGCCAACTTACAAAGTGGAGATATATCTGTGTTGACATTTCCTCCTTTAGGATTTATCTTCTGAGCTTGGCTTGCAGGAATAGGTTTATATGATTGACCTGTGGCTCTGTACATGGCTTGAACCCAGAGTATTCTATCCTGCTCATCGTCACTGGCAAATATCACGGTATCGCCTTCTTTAACAGCATTGAAAAACATTCGACCACCCTGAAGACCTGGATCAGGAAAGGTAAGGTAATCTTAATAAATACAAGTTACTTCTAAGTCACCATCAATGTTTATCACATCATTGGTTTTCCTCTGTGTGTGTGTGTACGAGGGAGGGAGGTAGGCAACGGGTGCCAAAACATTTTATAAGTATTTATGACCTAGAAATATTACAAAATCTAGAGCTATAGGGATCAAATGGTAATACATAGAGGTAACATATAAGTAGAATAAATACAGAAGTCATAGGACAAAATATTTCCATAATTCCATTTCCAGTTCAATTCCAATTTATTTCTTATTCATCTCCTCCTTGTCATATGCTATTTTGCATTTATCTAACATAACCTCCTTCTTGGCATCATTTTCTTAGCTAGAATTCCTTGTCAACTTTATCTCCTCTCCAACAGAGGCAGCTCCATAACTCTTATCAGTGTTGCTGTTCCTTCCTTTGTCCCTTTTTGTCATTTCAGTGTTTTGTTCTGAAAGCGCAGAACAGCACACAGCAATGTGGCTGCACCAGGGATTTTTTTAATGAGAACATTGTTTTGGCTTTCCAAACACCTTCTGAGCATTGTTTGCCTTCTCAATTATTCTAAACATCGAGTCAATGTTTCCAAAGATCAGTCTTCAATATCTTAGAAGCCTCTTAAATTCATAACCCTCTACTGTGTAAGTAGAGTAGAATTGTTTTTCTCTACATCTGTAACCTGCATTTCCCTCTGCCATTTTAATACTAACTTGTACAGCTTTTTCTGATATCTTCACATTTATTTTTTATTACTCTGAGTAATTTGTCTTTAGCAAGCACTGTCATCATTCACCTTCTTTACTAAATCATTTATGAATATACTTCCCAGTACATTGCCATATGACTCCACCATGAAAAATAGAGAGAAAAGGGAAAGACTGACTAGAACTCATATTATTTTCCTCGTATCATATGTGGCCTTACAATGTTTCAGGCAACCTGAAACAAGTTCATTGCTCATTCTTCTTAGAACAAGCTTCTATCTAAAAGTATGATTCTTCACACCAGAAAATTCTAGTGGAATAATTGCCAAAGAACCTTGGGTTTGTTTTTTTTCTGCTAGATCAAAACGAGCAAAATGAATCAGCTATTTTACACAAACACATCATACTTCAAAATCATGAAAAGTACCTGTGTGAGGAGCTGTATAATCCACAGTGTATCCTTCAAGTTGCATCAGTTCCTGAGGCTCAGATTTCTTTTCTCTGTAACTGCACATTGCAAATGTGTATTGGCTAACCTGAATAAGAGAGGACTTCTTAATTGATTAATTCCATTCCACAATTATACAACACGCGTACCACTGTTTAAATTAGCTTCCAGTTGTACTGAAGAAATAAAACCCATTTTTCCTCTAGAAATATTTACAGTGTAAAACTGTGTTCTTTCCCCTTCCTGCCAATAGGAAGGAAAAACAAAGCCATAAACACACCTCATCTCTCCATAGTTTCCTGAAAGACAATGTATTTTGGGCTGTTGCTTTATGAAAAATTGAAAGGAAGTAAATTAGGTTTTGGTAGGGAAAATACTTGGTACTGACCAAACTGCTCAGGTCTACTGTGTGAGAAAAAACATCCTGCATTCCAAGAAGCTGGAAAAAAAGGACTCTTATGTGTACCAGTACTATTTGCAGAAGGAGCGATACCGTTATCATGCAGCTGGAAAGATTAATCTGGCCAATTCTAGTTAAAGATGGTAAGTGCCAGAACCTTCAGTTTGATTTTATAGTCTAATTTCTGCATCTTTTGCACCCGTATGGACACTTATCTTCAGGTTGCTTGGCTTATTGGATACAATACTGTGTAGCCAAGCAACTTGCAGCTGGCATGAACATCTGCTACTTCTCATCGAGTACAATTATTAAAAAATAATAAAGCAATAAGAAGATAATCTGTCATCACATGGTTTAAGACCTTCTAGACAGAACAGAAAGCAATAAGGAGAGCTGAGGAAAAAATTACTAGAAAGATAAAGAAAGTAACAACTGGGAGAGGAAAATGACTCACTGAAACAAAACAGAGATGTTCCCAGCCTTAAGTGAAGAGCGGAAAGACTATACAAGGTGACCAGAAAAGCGAGCTTGTTAATCTGTGAACACTTGAAACTTACGGGAACTGAACTTTCATGAGCTGCTGAAACTCTCGTCTCCAAGGACTGTCAGATATCTGGCCAACTGACTTGTTTTGAACTATAATGCCATTTCTCAGGTCTGTACAATTATGCAAGGATCTAAGGATAAGTAAGCAGCTTGTCTGACAGACAATGGACTGTCTTTATCTCAGTTTCTGACTGCTCAGGCTAACTACTACCTAGATTCATTGCTTTGCCTACAACTTCAGGAATTATTCTTTTGGAGGTAAAATGTTGACAGCTGATTTCAGCTTCATTCACATATTCACTGGTGCTGTACCTGCACACGTCAGAGTCCAGTGACTGCTATTGACAGAAGATTTTGACTTTCTGTTAAAATCGATATTTTTGGAAAATAAGGACAGAAAGGGTAATTATTATCTGCTTAATGCTCTAAAAATATTTCATTATTGTAGGTATTCAGGGTTTTTTGAAACAGGATTATGCTGTGCTATAAAAATAGACAGTATGGTGACTGAACATGGTGCTCTATATACACAGTATGTACAAGCAAAAGGAACAAGAGTAGCAGCTCTCTCTGCAAAATTGCAATCAGATCCCAAATGCTAAACTGTTGTCTTCAGAACCACAGCAGAAGCCTACAGCTGAAATAAATTAAAGATAGATATTCCAGTTTAATTAATACATTAGGTGAGTGAAGGCAGTTTTATGGGAGATAAGAATTTGGGAGACCCTGTCAGGCAACTAAAACTGAGTGCCAGCTTTCCAAATCAATTGTAGTATGTTCACTTAGGTGGGCTGTACCAAGGAGACAGAGCTAAATATAAACACATACATATAATATAAAATATAAACAAAGTCCATCACTTTCAGAAGTTCGCATTTTCAGATTAGAAGGGACAATTAAAACCAGCCAGCCTGTCCTCTAGCATGACATACTGAACAGGATTTCACCTCACTGTTTATGCATTGAGCCCATAGTTTTGCTTTCATTTATAGTATGCATTTTAGAAAATGTCTGTATTTCGGTTTAAAGATGTTAAGTTACCTCTGGGCTGGCAGGGCCCTTGGGGCCTGGCAGCCAGGGCCCAGCCAGGGGCACCGGAGCAGCCCCAGCCCCAGGCAGGGACACCTCCCTGGGCACAGGCCAAGGCCTGGCTGGGACATGGGCCTGCGGGTGGGCCCGGCTCAGCGTGGCCCGTGGCCAGGCAGGGCAGGGCCGTGGGGATCCGGAGACAGGCCCTAATGAGGCTTTGGTGGGGCAGGGGCTAATGGCCCAGGAGGACTGAAATGAGCTCTTGCGCTGTGGGCAGGGGGGGAAGGCCAGGCAGGGATGGCTGGGGCTGGCGATGCCCTTGGGACCCTGGCACAGGGCTCATCCCCTCCACCTCATCTGTTCTAGGCCCAGCAGCAGAACCAGCTCTGTTACTGCTTACTGTTTCCCTGGTTATATTCCCAAGAACTGTATTCACCCTCATGCCCAAGCACGGAGGGAGCTGTTTGTCAGTCCCACACCTCTAAATCCTTTGCAGGTATTTCATGAGAGCTCCCTCCTCTCCTTTTCTTGTAAACAGATTTTACAGATTTAATTTTTGATACGTGGCACAGCAGTAGACTTTTTTTTCAAATTACTCAATTTTGTTGAGCGAAATAACTGGGCAAGCACCGACATCACTCACATTTACATCTCTGTATAACCACCACACTGTACAGACAAATTCAGCCATCAAAAAGGATGCTGGCAGGCACTAATTGTGAAAATACATAGGATGCTGCAGCTTTTTCTCATTCCTTCATCCACTCTGTTTTTGTGGAAGAGCTGGACTATGTGTTATTTTTCATTTTTATCCTTACCCCTATAACAAGACAGAGATTATAATACTCTTGATTTTACTTTCTTTTTTTTTTTTTCAAACATATTTCAAATGCATTCTCTCATATTGAAGGAATGATCTATTAAAAGATACTCCTGTCAAAATCAGTCTTACGCTTCATCTTTTTGTTGAAAATGAGACATTTTAAAGTCTTTCCATCAAAGCAACAAATAGAAAAACTCTAGAAAACTTTGTCTGGGGGAAAGAAAGTCTTAACAAAATAAATACAGAACTTGCCTTGCTTGTTTACTATCACAACCTCTTAAACCCTTTTTCTTATTGTTATCGATCGCTGCTATCACCTATTATAGAGAACCACCAGCACAATCTGAAATTACACTTTTTTATATAGATCTATGATTCAGTTTAAGTGTGTTTTTGGTAGCTAATGCAGCTGTAGGTAGTTTTATCTTAGAATTCAGCAAATTACTATCAATACTTCATTGAAAAATGGGTACTCAAAAGTCAGGACTACATACAACACATTTCCAGACAAAAGCAGAATCAAGCCACCTTCTTAAATAGTAATTCTTGATAGGAGAAAAGGCAACCCATTTCCTACAATTGCATTTACCTGAATTTCATTATTTCCCAGAGTTCTGAACACCCACCTAGCAGCTATTCTACCTTCTTTGTAATGAAGTGGAAAACCAACAACCTGCACATGCATGACAGAGAGATGCGCACAGAAATGCGGGCATGACTTCTGAGAAGTGTCACTAGGGGATGTCCCCATGGGGACCCCATGCTCACCATGCTGGGAGAAACCCTTACTGCAAACCTGGAGGCTGCCTGCGTGGTCCCCGCTACAGGGCATCACTGGGCAGCCTGCTTCAGGAGTTCAGCAGCAAGAACTAGCCTGCACAGCTGGGGTGTTTAGAAAAAAATTATCCATGAAACAAATGGCTGAATTTTCAAACATTAGAACAGATGAAATTAAAATGACAGAAGTAAAACTGTAAACACAGTAAGTCCAGCTGAGGCTTTTTACCTGACATGCTATGTCTTTGTCTTTTTCCAGTTTGAAACTAATAACCTTTTAGAGAAATGACTGAATCGTAAAAGGAAGAAAAGCAAATATAAAGAAGAGGTTAAAACTTCCAGACTCTGTAACGTTCCTATAACATTGAGCTGTTTTCTCACAAACCACTAACAACTTCTAATACATGTAGCAGTAACAAAGATGCACATTACTCACATCAGGCTCCTGAAAAATCAACGTTATTCACCTAATTTCACACCTGAGTTAAATTTCCAAACCATGTGTAAATCATACTGATAGCCTTGGTCTTACAACTGAATTTCATGGCCTTAATATTTTACTAAGGTAAGCTAAAAGCTAATCTATAGAGGAAGACTCATCAATATGTCAATAATATATCAATACAACACTCTGATATTCATTACTGAATGCTTATTTCACACATATTGACTTCAGCTTATTGCCAGTGTGTATATCACGGCTGGACTATATAAATGAGCCAGAGCTGTCTGGACAGTATATATTGATTTAACATGGTATTTTTTTATATAGCCTTATTGAGTTGATACCTATTTTAAAACGAAATAGATTTCTAAATCCCATCACAGTTGGAAAATTCCTGTAATATTCTCCTCCAGCATTTCAATTTCAGCATAGAAAGCAGAAGATAGTTAAAATTAACTTGGCTGGAATAAACTGGTCTCCTAGGTGGCTCCATATCACACGCGCAGAAAGACAATGTTTTTCTTAGGTGTGTACTTTAAAACTCAGGCAATGCCTGTGGCTTAGAAGAAGAGAACAAGGTCTTTCTTTTTGTGAAAGGGGGGGTGTACAGTAGGAGGAGTGTGAAAGAAAAGCATGAAGGGCAAGGGAGCATTCTAGCCTTTTTTTTTTTTTTAAGTTATTTTCCCTTCACATCTTCACCTTAACAGCTATCCTACATCCCAACATTTACAAATCAATAAAGTCACAAAAAGTCCTCATCTCTTCGTAGAGGACCTTGGTAAAATCAGAACCAAAATGAATTCAGTAGATTTCCCAGAAGATCCTTTTCAACCTTATAACTGTTACTCACTGATTATCAATATGCAAGCCAATTCCCACTGAAGCCAGGGAGATCACTGTATTGACATCAAGCTTAGCAACAGAAACACGCAAATACTCTCAGCTTTAAACTTTACTTTAATAAAGACCTTGTTCAGGATTTTTCTTTCACATCCTTACATTTTTCTTTATTTAGGAGTAGTAAAGAGACCAGGCGAGTGTGACTGATAGAATGGTAGAGAGGAATCAGGCTTTCTGTAAAGTAGTTTTTAAACCCTTCATTCTTAACAAAGCCTCATTAACAGGCTTCATCCTTTTTATGATGTTTATGGGGACTCACACTTTGTTTCCTGTCTACCAAAAAATGGACACAAAAGAATAATGTTCTTTGAACTGACTCAGAAGAACAACACCTTTGTAACCAGAATCTAAAGACAAGTGCAAATATTGATTTTTCCAGAGATTCAGAAAAATTTTTCATTTCTCAGTTTTGACCACTCAAAATCTACTTTTCTATTCCTGTTCTGTTAATCTCATGGTAATGTCACTATTCGCTAGCATGTGAAAATACTTACAGTTCTGGGTTTGGACAAAACATTACAAAGTATGAGCCCAGGTCATTTTTGTGGTCAATAAAAATCATTGCACTAGATTTTCTATAATGACTACATAGTAAGATCTTACCCAATTTAATATTGCAAGGAAGAAGAAAAAGACGCATTGTTCAAAAAATATTCACAAAAAAAGTTCTTAATAGTAACTATTGTTACTTTAATTTTAAAGGCAGAAAATCTTTGTTGAGATAGAATATATGAAAGAGTAAGTACGATCCACTTTGTGAAATACGACTACTTTAAATTGAGCACTGCTGGAAAGCTGTCAGTGGAATGTTTCAACATCACAACAATTTCTTTCAGAAATTTGGAGGTTTCAGTTGACACATTGCTCAGTGTTGGGACTCATTTATAGACAAGTAAAACTCCATGACATTTTTTGTTTATTACATATGTATATATTATACATATATACTTTTACTACATACAAGAAAAATAACCCGGATGTCTCTATGCTGTAAGAAGGTTGCAGTATTACTGCCTGTGTTGCCTTAAGATACTGATTTACAAATGGCTCCAGAAACCATACGTAAGAGAACTGCTAGCTACTACATCAAGACTACTTTTTAATGAAATTTGACAACAGAATACTAACCTGAACAAGGACAAAGTAGCGTTTTTTCCACCGCTTCCAAACCTTCTGTCCTAGAGCGTACAAATATCTGCAGAGGAAATAATAAAGGGAATGTTTATTGGGAGGAGCCAATACAAATGAGTTTATTTGCTCTCCCTACTGAGCTTCTTTTTCAGTGTTGTCACATTTAAGAAGTGATTTTTTTCTTTTATTTACTCAGACCATAAAAACACAGAGACATATTCCTTTTCACTCAAAATGTGACAAAAAAGCAGAAAGAAATTATCTCATGTTTAAGAAGGCTAAGCTGCTTATCACTTATATTTCACCAATTGCCTCTGAAAATAAAAAAATAGCTTAAAGTATAACACTTTTGACTACACAGAAATACTGAATGTCAGAAAAGCTAAACATTTTTTTCTTCTCCACTTGGTTTCCATAGATTTGCTAGTGTTTCTCCAGTCTGTGAGAAGTCAGTCACAATGTCAGTATGGAAAAGTGCTCAAATAACAAAATGTCAGCAGATTAAACAAAACTAATTTTTTTTTTTCCAGAGTAAACTACAATCTAATTTCCCAAACAGAAGCTTTTCACTACTCTTAGATTACAAAAAACTCCTTGTCACCTTAGCACTTAGCAGGCTTTGAATCAGACAATGTAATCAGGAGTACCAACCAGTGAGATGATAAAACCTGACATGGTGATGCTATTTGCTGTTAGAGGAAGCATTCCCAGTACCGAAGAAGCATGAGCAAGTTTTATGACATTATAATGACATATTTTTTTGTCACTGTGGTCATGTTGCACTGTTGTTAACAAAGACAGTAAGATGAAAAGGATGCGCTACAGGAATGTATGCAGGAGCCTGTAAGTTGTAAGGATCTCCTGCTTACAATCTGACAGGAGAGCAAAAATTACCTATGAGATGTCCCTTCTGGCTGGCCAGCTTATATCAAGTGCATCTAGTACAAATAGGTGGGTCAAAGGCAGAACAAAGATCCAAACTGTTCAGATCAATGACTGCCAGCTTCACAGGGCACTCTCCAGAGGATGGTGGCACATCTGTTATGGAGACGTTATAATGACCAGGATTGGGGATGGTTGGTTGGATGGTTGGTAGATGAACAGGTGCCTTTGAAGTAAGAAGATAAGGTCTGCTGCCCTTTACTTGGTGATGACTTTGGGGCTCTGTTGCTTGGTGTTGCTGAACTCAGTTGAAAAATAGCAATCAACTGATATCTCATTGAAACAGGCAAGGAAGATACAAGCAGAACCTTTTTCCCCACTTGTTCTGGGCATACACTCAAGAACATTCTTTACTGCCTTAGGTATCACAAAGGACAATTTTTGGTCAGTGTAATGCAAATTTATAATGGTGCTTTGTCAAACCATATAACGGGTCCCTCATTACTACGGCACAGATATCTCGCCCTTCTTCAGCTCCTGCTACACCCACATTGAAGCTCTGCCTCGCTTGGTTACTCTGCTTTTTATTCGTATGTAAGGGAGGAAAATTGGCTTAGTGTACATGATTACCATGCGATGTAGCTTTCTTTGAATAGTCCAGATCCTGCCACACTCTTTTAAACTTCTTAATTCTGTGATTATTATAGGTTCAATAAAAAGAAAGGAGAGGAGTAAGGTCTATGTCAGAAAGGGTACCAAAAAAGGGCCTACTAGGGTTTATTAGAAAGTTTATAATGTTTTGCAACTAAAGAAGCATTTACCTCACAGACCGATTGGTGCATATTCCCCTACAAAATATGAACTGTTTTGCTTTTCATACATGTTTCAAAAGAGCCAGGTATGTTCCTCTAAATCACGTTAATCTCTTGCCCCTGTTAATCTCTTTACTATGGGCATAGGGTGGAGAGGGAACGACTGATTAATTTCATTCAGCCTTGCAGTAGAGGCAGAACTACCACAAGTTACTGTAAATTCTAAATTATAAAATAAGAAAGCATACACAAAAGAAATTAAATAGCAATGTGCACTTTTTATTCTTCCTATGAAACCACTTCCAACGAAGGTATTAAGTAAGAGCTTCCTTGAGAAACAAAGGAGTGGAACATTAACTATCTAACTTTAAAATCTGCTGGTTTTAGATAAGATTAGGTAGCGTAGAAAAGAACATTCATGACATAAAGCTGGGATTTAGCGTAAAGTGAAAAGCCTTATGTTACTTGATTTTACAAATCGTTATAAGCACATGTTATAAGCTATAATCTTATGTTATTAATCCTTGTGCCGGTGCCATCTTTAATGGTGACAGCTTTTTTCTAATGTAGAAAGTTTCAGCCATTTACAAGGGATATATCCTATCTTAAGTGTGCATGCTCCTGAAAGGTGATGAGATTAATTCTTACTCAAGAGTCTAACATTTATACCCAGAAGAAGCTAAGCATCTTACAGACTCCTAGAATCCTGTTAGAACTTCTCTTTCCCATTTATTTTCCATTGAAAAAAATGGGAAGCAAAGGACAAAAAATGGGAAGCTGATGATACCAAAAATGGGGAAGCGGACACTTTGGAAGGGAGAGCCACCCTGCAGGAAGACCCAGATAGGCTGGAAGAGTGGGCTAACCTTATGAAGTTCCACAAGGACAAGTGTAAGGCCTTGTAGCTGGGAAAACATAATCCAGGAGTGAGTGCAACACAGGCTGGGACCTACCCAGCTGGGAAGCAGGTCTGTGGAGAGGGACCTAGGGGTCCTGGTGAACAAGTTCAATATGAGCCAATATTGTGCTGCTGCAGCAAAGAAAGCCAATAGGAGGCTGGGTTGCATCAACAAGGGCATAACCAGCAGAGATAAAGAAGTGACTATCCCACTCTTCTCAGTGCTTCTCAGGCCACATCTGGAATACTGTGTTCAGTTTTGGTCCCTGCTATACAAAACAGATGTGGACGGGCTGGAGAGGATCCAAAGAAGGGCCACCAAGATGATCAAAGGACTGGGAAACCTGTTGTCTGAGGAAAGGCTGAGAGAACTGGGTTTGTTCAGCCTTAAGAAAAGAAGGCTTAGGGGAGACCTTATCACCATGTTCCAGTATTTAAAGGGTGGCTACAAAGAAGATGGAGACTCCCATTTTACAAGGAGTCACATGGAAAAAATGAGGGGTAATGGGTACCAGTTACCTCTCAGGAGATTCTGATTGGACACAAGAGCAAAATTTTTCACAATGAGAACAATCAGCCCCTGGAATAACCTCCCCGGGGAAGTGGTGGATTCCTCATCATTGGAAACTGTTAATATTCAGCTGGACAGGGTGCTGGGCCATCTTGTCTAGACTGTGTTTTTCCAAATCAGTTTTGACCAGATGATCCTTGAGGTCCCTTCCAACCTGGTGTTCTATGATTCCATGACCTAAGAATCTTGTTAAATTTGGACAGTAATATCCAGGATTTGTAGAAACTGCAGTTGATGTCTACAACAAAAAAAGTCTACAAAATCCAGTTTCCAGAATTAAATGACACTTGCATTTCACAACTGGAGCAGAAGATTGAGAGGTTAACAGATTCCAAAGTCCTAGAGCTAAGTTGAAGAATGTTTTATTTTTAAGATGGGGAATTGCATCATTTTTCCCGGGTCTCAAATAAATGTCAATACCACAAACCAGACCAGACCCTCATAATCACAAGCTCACAGAACTGCAGCCTGCTATTTTGCTACCTGTACTCCGTGTGTCTGTATTCTTCTACAAGCCTTGCTCACTCCCTCCATACAAAAATATGTGCACAAGATGCAGAGTGTTAATTCTACAGACTGTTTTAAAAGCTCTCAGCAGGAACAAGAAACACACAACAGCCATTCCTTCAAACACTGTACCTTTCTTTAGATAAAATACTCTGTGCAATACAAAAAAGAAACTAATATTCAGAAGTAGCTAATTCCGTATTTCTAAAAATTAACCACGCCATTTGCTACAATTTTACTCACTCTATTTTGGGTTCCAGAGTTGGGTTAATCTAAAATAATTCTGAGAAGGAAAATACTGAAATAATTGTCCTGTATCTAAGCACTGAAATAGCAATTGCTTATTACTAAACAGATTTATTTTTACTTCTCTTTAAGACCATGTTTTGAGAGTGTTTAGTGAGTAGAGTGACAAGAAGGTAGTAAAAATTGGTTTCCTGATGCATATAAAACCAGATATACATGGCAGACTTTTATTCTGTAAAATTATATTAATATAAGAAATAAGATATGCATACATGACATCTATATCTATACATGTGCATATTAGAAAGCATATTTATAGTCAGTATGTATAAGCTTGGCTGCCTTCTTCAGTCTTTTTATATTACTCACATAATTTCCAGTACCTTAAGACTAATACACCTGCTTTTATACAGCACATAGAAAATAGGACCTTGATCAAACATGTTGAGTCATTAAGTGCTACACCAATGCATTTTCTAACACAGTTTTGTAGTAATATGAAAATGCAACCAAACATACAAGCCATGCAATCACTTTCCTGAGACTTTCGCTCTTAAAAAACAGTTCTGCGATTTTCTTTTCTTAAACAGCATTTAATACTGCTTTCTTTCTCCTCACTCACTCCCAAATAAAAAAGTAAAAATTAGATTTGTATGAAGTCACAGATTTACCTGATTATACCTCAAAATTCTTACAATATTGTAGAAAACCAAATATTTAAAGTTTTAAAGTATTTAAATATTTTCCTGGAAAACAAATAAAAATACAAGCAATTCACTTCCTCTACAAAATATACAAACAGCTGGACAAAAATGTTTTATATATCATCTTGTCTCAGTCAGTATCATTTTCTCCTCTGGAAATAAAATAAACAAGCAGAACAACCATTGTCTTTAAGAAGTCTGAGCACTACCACTATATTTTAAATATATAAACATTGAATATTTTCAAAGTGCATTTCCTTCTGTTACAAAAATGCAAAACCATACTGCAAAATATTATAGTTCAGTTTCAATTATGTGATGGCATACACAGGAAAGAAGATGGCAGCTTATTTGCTCTAAGTCCACACTGTGAGAGTGCAGGGTTCTACTCTGGATGAAAAAATCAGCACTAATGAATAGCTGAAAAACATAATTGAGTGTGGA